AGATGTGGGTTGGGTGTGTTTGCTTGTTTTTTTTGTTCTAGAGCTTTCAGGTATCTTGTTATGTTGCTAGTATGACATCTTTCTAATTTCCTTATGAAGACACTTAAAACTTTCCTCTTAACCCTGCTTTTATTATGTCTCGTAAGTTTGGGTAGTATGTGTATTTATTTTCATTCATTCTAGGAAGTCTTTATTTCCTTTCTTCATTTATTCCTTGACTCAGTTGTGATTAGGCAGACAGTTATTCAGTTTCTATGACTTTGTAGGCTTTCTGTTGTTTTTGTTAATGTTGAAATACATCTTTAATTCATAGTTTTCTGGGAGGATGCAGGGGCTTATTTAAATTTTCCTGTATCTGTTGAGAGTTGCTTTGTGACTCACTATAAGGTTGATTTTGGAAAGATTTGATGGGAAGAAGGTATATTCTTTTGTGTTTGGGTGAAATGTTCTGTAGATATTTGGTTTATAGTGCCTGTTAGCACTATTATGTCTCTTTTTGTTTTGTCGTGATGACATTTTCATTGGGGGTAGTGGGGTATTGAAGTCTCCCATAATTAATGTGTGAGGTTCAATGTGTAATTTAAGCTTTAGTTATGTTTCTTTTCAAATGTATGTGTCCCTGTGTCTGAGGCATAGATGTGAAGAATTGCAATGTTCTCTTGATGGATTTTTCCTTTAATGAGTTTGAAATGTCTTTCTCTATCCCTTTTGATTAATTTTGGGAGGAAGTCTATTTTGTTGGACATTAGAATAGCTACATCAGTTTGCTTCTTAGGTCCATTTGCTTGGAAACAGTTTTTCATCGGTTTACCCTTAGACAATGTCTATGTTTAGTGTTGAGGTGTATTCCCTGCATGCAGCAAAGGGATGGATTGCATTTCCATATTCATTCTGCTAGTTTGTGTCTTTTTATTGGGGAATTGAATTCCATTGCTACTGAGAGATATTAAGGACCACTGCTTGTTAATTCCTATTATTATGTTGTTGTTGTTGTTCGTATTTTGTGTGTGTGTGTGTTTGTTTCAGATCTCTGGGATTTGCTTGTGTGTGTTTATTTATTGCTTGTGTTTTCATGGATATATTTAACCTCCCTGGGTTAGAATTTTCCTGTTTGTACCTTTTCTGGGCCTGTATTTGTGTGTAGATATTGTTTACATTTGACTTTGAAATGAAATGTCTTGTTCCTTCCATCTGTGGTGATTGAAAGTTTTGCTGGGTATCATATTCTGTGCTTGCATCTCTGTTCTCTTACCGTCTATGAAACACCAATCTAGGCCCTTCTGGCTTCTAAAGTCTCTATTAAGAAGTCACCTGTCATTCTAACAGTTCTGCCTTTATATGTTACTTGGCCTTTTTTCCTTTGCACCTTTTAATAATCTGTCTTTTTTACTGTATATTTTGTGTTTTGATTATTATATGGTGTGGGAACTTTTTTTTCCTTTTCCTATCTATTTGGTGTTCTGTAAGCTTCTTGTTCCTCATAGGCATTTTGTCCTTAGGTTGGGAAATTTTTCTTCTATGATTTTGTTGAATATATTTTCTGCTCATTTGAGCTGGGGTTCTTCTTTTTCTTATATTCCTCTTATTCATAGATTTGGCTTTTTCATAATGTCCCAGATTTCCTGGATGTTTTCTGTTCATAATATTTTAGAATTAACATTTTGTTTGATGGATTCATCTCTTCCCTCCAATATATCTTCTATGCTTGTGATTCTCTCTACTATCTCATATATTGTGTTGGTGATGTTTGCATCTGTAGTTCCTGTTCACTTACTCATATTTTCTATTTCCAAAGTCCTTCCTTTTATGTTTTCTTAACTGCTTCTATTTCCATTTTCATGTCTTGAAGAGTTTCTTTCACCTGCCTTTTTTCTATTAGCTTTTTTGGCATTATTTATGAAATTTATTTATTTCTTCCTATGTTTTATTTTAGCCCACGACTTCAGAACAAGTCTTCTTCTTACACAAGGCAAGGTTGGATCTAAGGACCCAGGGTAAGACACTACTCACTGCCAGCTAAGATTCCCTAAAGCTGACCCAACAGCTCCCAACTGCATCCTCTCCCCTGAGTTCCAAATTCCAGACCACATCTTTGTCAGATAATTTTTACTATACTAGAGACCACACTGTACTAGGAATTCCAGAGACCAAGCAATACCCAAACACCTCAGTCAGATAATTTTTAAATACCAAGTTCCTAAAGTAAACATTCTGTCTTTGTACAAACAGAATGTCACCTGGTACAAAGAAAGCATTTATTTGCAGAAAGAGAAAAAGAATTATTAAATATATATAATACCAGGCAATGACAAAAATAATCACTAAGTAGACTTTAACATTTGCAAATTCAATTTTGATATCTAGTTATCTTTTTTCCCTGAGCTGAAGACTGAACCCAGGGCTTGAGCTTGCTAGGCAAGCGCTCTACCACTGAGCTAAATCTCTAACCCCGATATCTAGTTATCTTAATCACTGAAATTTTAAACTTTTAAACATATAGTTAGCCGTCAATATGACATTAACCATCCCAATGTATGAAGAGATACTTATGGGAGCATGGGTGACACAAAATTTGGTGCACCCCCAAAAACCAATGTCAGTGTGGGTGAAGAAAAAGGAAACCTGCATCCCTGCATATTGTGCAGCTTGGTTAACTGGAGGGTCTCCTCAGCTTTTGTCATTACTCATATGAAATTAGGGAGGACCCTTGTGAATTCCGTATGTTTCAGAATATTCCGGAGCATTTTGAAGTTTAGTTTAGTTCTGGTGACTTAATTATTAATCTTCCAAAACGCAATGTTCCAATTATGAGGAACTAACTTTTCAACAGGAATGCAATTGAAAAAGAAGAGAATGCGGTGCTTATTCAACCACACCTTAGAAAATGTTTCAATAATGGGGATGTATACATTGAAATATTAAAGAAATATGAGGATGGGTCTGGTGAGAGAAGACTTTGACATACAGCATTTGGGGTGCACAGTACAGCAAATGGTAAAACCCAATGTTAAGCGTAGGCTTTCAGAATGATAACTCTAACAGCAGAGTTAGAAAGACAAGATTGGGTTACTGAGTGTGAATATGATATATATGAAATTGTTTTGAAACCCATTATGTTGTATAACATGATTACATATTAGTAACATACACTAATAAAGAGTGAGCCTCTTGTTGATCTGCAATTGTGAGATACTCAACATGGTTACAGCTTCAAGTACATCAAGAACTTATAGCCAGTCAGGTTATAGAGGTCTGCAGGAGTGAAATGAAATAGAGACCCATGAACAAAGCAAAAGAGTTTGATTTCTGTTGAGTAGGTTGCAAGGACCTTAGCCTTTGTAAGTAAAGGAAAGCCACTTTCAGAATCATATTACAATAATGAAGCATGGTCCCAAAGTTAGAGACCTCTGTCTTCACATTCCAGCTCTTGTTTCACTGCATCTATCGGTCTTTACTGGAGAAAGGACTGTGGTCTTCCTCAGAACTTTCTTTGAGAACTCATGGATGAACATATTTCATCTCAGCTTAACATTCCCTGACATCCATGTATAAACTGGGATCTGTGGAAAATTCCTTGGGAATCTGGGAATCGGGAAT